ATAATATTAATATTTTTTTGAATCTTGTATTTTCTAATATCGATGGTTTGCCTGTTGGTACTACAGAAGACCTTAGTTTGAAGGATACTGTTCATCATATTCCATATTGCTGGTCTCTTGATTATTAGTATCATTTTAGTTTATGATTTTCCAAATGATAATTCTCAATTGCTTAATGATTTTTATGCCTCTATTAATTGAGAGAATATTTTCAATAGCCTTAGTTTAGATGAGAAAGTCTCTAATTTTTATAACGTTATTTTTATAGGCATGGATTTATATATTCGGAAAAAACGTATTCAAGTTAATAGATATATAGGAAAGGAAGCATAGATGGTTCAATAGCGAGTTGAAAAATTTATGTCGTAAGAAACAAGAAGCTTATTTAGCCTACAAACAATCGGGTAGATTTGAGAATTACCAATATTTCAAATCTTTACGTGGCCGCTGCAAAGAACTTAATCAAAGTCTCGATAATTTATACGTTGAGAGTGTTAGCAATAGTATAATAAATCGTTCGAAGTTTTCTGGAAATTTGCCAATGACAGAAAACAGAATAACGGAATTTCGTATGAAATGAAATTTCAAGAATGTGTAAAGAGTGGTAATGTGTGAAAATTATGGATTTTATTGTGTCTCAACAACTTCAGTGGATGACTTCTTCTATTATTTCTTCCAAACAGCATGATGGGTTCTTCAAAAACAGGTCCCCTTTAACTAATTTTTTAGAGTATTATAGTTATCTTACTAAAGCTTTCGCCTATAAGGTACAAGTTGCTACGGTATACACCGATTTTTCCAAAGTGTTCCATTAGGTAAACCAGTTGCTTCTATTCAAGTTGAAAAATCTCGGATTTATATTGGTTATTTATTTTATTTTGTATTATTATAATCAGGTTTATATTTTGTAAAAAGGTTTCCCGTCAATAAATTATTATTATTATTAATTAACAAATAGGAAAGTCTAATTCTTACATCGCACCGGTCGCGTGCAAGATTCGAAAATTTCAGCTTTGAAAGTTGTCATCCTTGTAATAAACAGTTACCATTGTGTGCTTCCTTCACAATACAAAAGAAATGTTGCGTGAAGATTTTAAGGCCACAGTCGCTAGAATGTCGGCTTGTTTGTGGAAAAATATTGAGTAATGGTAGTGGTTAAGGCACGAGCCGCATAGGAGGTACCCTTTTTGCTGGCAAACAAATTGCAGTGTCGGCTTTCTTCTATTCTGCACCTCCTGCGGTGTTATATTACATTACATGAATTAAGGAGATCATGGTACAATTGTTGTTGTTACTGTTGTTGTCGGAGATTAAACGCATCGCTTAAACTTGTGTTCTGCATGACAGAGAGGCATAATACATGCGGTATTAAATTTTAATGGGGATTTCGGATGCGCTTTTATTTGTCGAAGAGTATCGTTTACATTAGGGAAGCTACACTGTCAGCAGTCTCGGTCATAATATATAAATACGTGCAATAATTAATTATTACATGGTAAGTAAACATGTTTTTTTTACTTCCCGAGCGTAAGCAAAGGAAGTATTGTAATCGAGTCCGTCGGCCGACTCTCTACTTTTACGTTTTCTCGATCTTTCATGACCCCTAGAAGACGAAGAAATAGGTCTCCCATTTCCGTCTGTCCGTCCGTCCGTCTGTCCGTCCGTCTGTCCGTCTGTCCGTCTGTTGTCCCGGATTTTATTAGACAGATAATCTCCGAAAGTACTCGACCGATTGTTGTGAAATTTTGTACTTATATTAAGAATATCATGTAGATGGTAAAACGCTAACCAAAATTTGTCTAATCATCCCCACTACTAATGCGATGACGTCACTTCAAAATTGTACATAGTAAATGGGTTTTCAATTGTATAAAATAACATAGTCCTACACATGTAGTTTACAACTCTGAATCGACTTTTCACCCGAAACGTCCAGATTTTTGGAAAAAAAATCAAAATTATAAAACAACATTTTGAAATTTAATTTTTAATCTGCTAACCAGAATGCTTTGAAATGTTGCAGATGTTTTAAGGCTATAAAGAGCATCATAAATCTTTAGTCAAAAAATATTTGCTTATCCCCTCCAATAACTTGATGACGTCAGCTCAAAAGTTTGTGGAATAAATCATATCTAAAATGTACAAAATATGATGAGTCTGTACTTGTGATCTATCACTCCATTCATATTTTTTGGATTTGCATATACAGGGTGACTCAAAAAAATTAATGAATGCGTAAATATATTTTATTGATTTAATCAGGAACTACAAAACCGAATGCTCTGAAATCTTGCAGATGTTTTAAGGTCATAAAGAGCATAATAAATGTTTAGTCAAAATATATTTGCTTATCCCCTCCAAAAACTTGATGACGTCAGCTCGAAAGTTTGCCGAATAAATCATATCTAAAATGTACAAAATATGATGAGCCTGTACTTGTCATTTATCACTCCATTCATATTTTTTGGATTTGCATATACAGAGTGACTCAAAAAAAATAATGAATGCGTAAATATATTTTATTGATTTAATCAGGAACTACAAAACGGAATGCTCTGACATCTTGCAGATGTTTTAAGGTTATAAAGAGCATAATAAATGTTTAGTCAAAATATATTTGCTTATCCCCTCCAAAAACTTGATGACGTCAGCTCGAAAATTTTCCGAATAAATCATATCTAAAATGTACAAAATATGATCAGTCTGTACTTGTGATCTATCACTCCATTCATATTTTTTGGATTTGCATATACAGGGTGATTCAAGAAAATAAATGAAAGCGTAAATTTATTTTACTGATTTACTCAGGAACTACAAAACCGAATGCTTCGAAAGCTTGAAGATATTTTAAAATTATCATAAGCATGGTAAATTTTTGATCAAAACGTATTTGGTCGTCCCCCCTAAAAAATTTATGATGTCACCACAAAATTTTGCTGAAAAAATCCTATCTAAAATGTACAAAATATGGTGAGTCTCTTCTTGTGATTTATCATTCCATTCAAATTTTTTCGATTTGCATATACAGGGTGACTCAAAAAAATTAATGAATGCGTAAATTTATTTTATTGATTTAATCAGGAACTACAAAACCGAATGCTTTGAAATCTTGCAGATGTTTTAAGGTTATAAAGAGCATAATAAATGTTTAGTCAAAATATATTTGGTTATCTTCTACAAAAAACTGATGACGTCAGCTCAAAAGTTTGCCGAATAAATCGTATCTAAAATGTACAAAATATGATGAGTCTGTACTTGTGATTTATCATTCCAATCATATTTTTGGATTTGCATATGCAGGGTGACTCAAAAAAATTAATGAAGGCGTGAATTTATTTTATCGATTTAATCAGGAATTAGAAAACCGAATGCTTTGAAATCTTGGGAATATTTTAAAGTTATTATAAGCATGATAAACTTTTGTTCAAAATGTATTTGTTCATCCCTCCTAAAAAAATTGATGACGTCACCCTTAAATTTTGCTGAATAAATCCTATCTAAAATGCAAAAAATATGATGAGTTTGTACTTGTGATTTATCATTCCATTCATATTTTTTAGATTTTTTTAAGAGGTGGTTCAAAAAAATTAATGAAGTCAATTTATTTTATTGATTAAATTAAAGGCAACACTTATTATTAGTATTACACCCCAACCAACCCAATGTGGTAGACACAAAATTTGTTAAAGGAAAAACTCGGTTGAAACATAAGGGTGGCACGCTTATTTACATCGACTTTAACATTACAGACCTGCATTTGTTTTATGCGCTCACTTGGTTCCGCGAATGTGAAATAGACATGTTTATAATCAACCAATTGTGAATTTCACCGTCAAGAATTAAAATAAAACCCAATGTTTTATATAATAAGCGGAAGTCGAAGCAATAAAACCGATGGTCGTTTTGTTTACAGTTTCTCTGTATGACTCACACGTATGCTGTTACGCCTGTCATCTTAAATTAAGAATGTTTTTACATACACGATTTTCAGTTGCCTCTGATACGTATACGTGAGTAAATTGTTTCGTTATTTTATTGATTATTACAAATCAATATTCAAAACGACCCAATTCATTTTCCCGAAAATTTGAGAATATAATAATTTTATTCTTAGTATTACACTACATCTATCCCAACTGATATACGTGTCCTTGCAAAAATGTTGATGACGTCATCGCAATTTTTTTTTAAATTCCCACTACAAAAATGTAATGAGAAAAAAAACACAATAGGCATGCAGTCGTCAAGTTTCCGACAGCGAGGGAAGTACTGTCTAAACTCTTTAGACCAATTTTTTCCTAAATTTTTAATGGTCAATAAGCTGCCCATAAGAAAGCTGATCTGTTTGTCCTCCATATAACTGAATTATAATGGAACAATAAAGTGTTTCGGTTGTTTGCTCACTCACCTTTAAAAACATCCCTTGTCTCTATTATCATTGAAACATCTTCCAAACCATGGTTATCTAATTCCGATCTTGTTTTCCACTTCTGCCGCCTATTAAACTGTGGGCTTCTGACATACACCCCAGCGGTTCCAAACAAGTAATTTTTTTTTACTTGTTTGTTACTTTCTAGCGTCTAATTCCGACAAATTTTGTGAAAATCAGTGAACAGACATTTTTTATTAGTTATTTAAATTAATTTTGTAATTTCGTCTCCAGTAACCAGTAATACGTTCATCAACATTTTTGGTGGTTCTGGACAAGTCTATTGGACCTAACGTTGTCGATCAGATAAAAATGAGTGGCGGGTTCATTCGCTTTTAGCGGTTTGCAACTGTCCACTTGAAATCCACTAAATAAGTTGTCAATTATACATTTCTGGTATTCATCTGCCTGGAAAACGGATTTGAAATTGTTCCAAATGCTAGTAACAGTCTGAGATGAATCGAATGCATTCTAGGACCTTGAAAAGTAGGAAATAATTGATTTGTTTATTAAACACTATTCCTTTCTCATGAACCATGAAACCCAAAGCTACGGGTTACAAGGTCAAACCACAACTTGTCGTGGACAAATAGTACATACTTCACTGTTCGCTGCGTTTTCCGCGCATTTGCAAACATACCTACTTTCAGGAATTATTGTAGTAGTGTTAATATTTTAGTACACGGCAAAGTTGGAAAATGAGTGTCCCCAGTGTTACTTTATGTGATAATGTAAAAATGCCCGTTTTGGGTTATGGAACTTGGCAGGTCAGTTTTTATCGTTGTTGCATATAAATTAAGTATTCCGATTAAATTAATTAATTTGTTTATTATTAATATAATGCGGTCATAATAATTTCGAAATTCTTTTTTTTTCGATACGAGTGAATACGGTAACGTTGTATATCACGAAACAAGAAAGTTTAATGAACTTCCGTCGCGTCACTTAAAACACACATCAAACATATCGCTTTTCTTTTGTTAATTATTATCGAAATATGTAAAACAATGAGATTTAGGTGAAGATAATAAAATAAAAGCAAACATTTGGTATATTTAATGCGTAGTGCAAATGCAAGATACACACATATTTAAAATGCTAATACCTACCGGCAAAAATAATCTTAAGCTACTAAACAATCATGGTCACTAAGCTACTAAAACTAGTCTCCTATTTCTTGCAAAAAGTGTTATGTAACTTTACGCTAAATTTTATATCAATATATTTAAGATTTTTATTTTTGAAACAGACATTAAAAAGAAATTTCCGTAGGTATACCAGACTTGAGCTTTGTACTGTAAGAACTTAACACTTTTATATTAATAAGTTTAGTTGTTAATCGTTTTAATAATATAATCTTTTGTGTTGATGTGTGCTATAAATAACTATTATTGTGATGCGGAAATGCCAAAAATAATTACCAGATTAAAGTGTTGAGTAATTATTTATCTTTGAAAGTATTTTGCCTTCATAGACATACTTTTTAATGTGTTGTTGATTTTCTTCTGTATGTGAATGTAGATAACCGGTGTTCAATTGAAAAATCACTTAATCAAAATTTTATAGTTTATGTCCTCCAAACATTACTGACGACATTTTACAGTTTTCCCGAATAATTTTTCTTTTTATAGAATTACATACTCTTGAATGTGTTATTTATGAATCCGCGTTTTTTACACTATACATCCATATTTTTGGGAAAAAAATTGGTCTAAAGAGTTTAGACAGTACTTCCCTCGCTGTCGGAAACGTGACGACTGCATGCCTATTATGTTTTTTTTTTCGCAGTGGATTTCAAAGAATTCGGTTTTGTAGTTCCTGATTAAATCAATAAAATATATTTACGCATTCATTAATTTTTTTGAGTCACTCTGTATATGCAAATCCAAAAAATATAAATGGAGTGATAAATGACAAGTACAGACTCATCATATTTTGTACATTTTAGATATGATTTATTCGGCAAACTTTCGAGCTGACGTCATCAAGTTTTTGGAGGGGATAAGCAAATATATTTTGACTAGACATTTATTATGCTCTTTATGACCTTAAAACATCTGCAAGATTTCAGAGCATTCGGTTTTGTAGTTCCTGATTAAATCAATAAAATATATTTACGCATTCATTAATTTTTTTGAGTCACCCTGTATATGCAAATCCAAAAAATATGAATGGAGTGATAAATTACAAGTACAGACTCATCATATTTTTACAGTTTAGATAGGATTTATTCGGCAAACTTTCGAGCTGACGTCATCAATTTTTTGGAGGGGATAAGCAAATATATTTTGACTAAACATTTATTATGCTCTTTAGAACCTTAAAACATCTGCAAGATTTCAAAGCATTCGGTTTTGTAGTTTCTGAGTAAATCAGTAAAATAAATTTACGCATTCATTAATTTTTTTGAGTCACCCTGTATATGCAAATCCAAAAAATATGAATGGAGTGATAGATCACAAGTACAGACTCATCATATTTTGTACATTTTAGATATGATTTATTCCACAAACTTTTGGGCTGACGTCATCAAGTTTTTGGAGGGGATAAGCAAATATTTTTTGACTAAAGATTTATGATGCTCTTTATAGCCTTAAAACATCTGCAACATTTCAAAGCATTCTGGTTAGCAGATTAAAAATTAAATTTCAAAATGTTGTTTTATAATTTTGATTTTTTTTCCAAAAATCTGGACGTTTCGGGTGAAAAGTCGATTCGGAGTTGTAAACTACATGTGTAGGACTATGTTATTTTATACAATTGAAAACCCATTTACTATGTACAATTTTGAAGTGACGTCATCGCATTAGTGGTGGGGATGATTAGACAAATTTTGGTTAGCGTTTTACCATCTACATGATATTCTTAATATAAGTACAAAATTTCACAACAATCGGTCGAGTACTTTCGGAGATTATCTGTCTAATAAAAATCCGGGACAACAGACGGACAGACGGACGGACAGACGGACAGACGGACGGACAGACGGACAGACGGACGGACAGACGGACAGACGGACAGACGGACGGACAGACGGACAGACGGACAGACGGACAGACAGACGGAAATGGGAGACCTATTTCTTCGTCTTCTAGGGGTCATGAAAGATCGAGAAAACGTAAAAGTAGAGAGTCGGCCGACGGACTCGATTACAATACTTCCTTTGCTTACGCTCGGGAAGTAAAAATCAAAATTATATAACGACATTTTTGTCTTGTTTATACCCCCGTAAAACTGGTGACGTCATTTTAGTTTTGTCGAATTTTTACTTCCCGAACGTAAGCAAAGGAAGTATTGTAATCGAGTCCGTTGGCCGACTCTCTACTTTTACGTTTTCTCGATCTTTCATGACCCCTAGAAGACGAAGAAATAGGTCTCCCATTTCCGTCTGTCTGTTCGTCTGTCCGTCTGTCCGTCCGTCTGTCCGTCCGTCTGTCCGTCTGTCCGTCTGCCGTCCCGGATTTTTATTAGACAGATAATCTCCGAAAGTACTCGACCGATTGTTGTGAAATTTTGTACTTATATTAAGAATATCATGTAGATGGTAAAACGCTAACCAAAATTTGTCTAATCATCCCCACCACTAATGCGATGGACGTCACTTCAAAATTGTACATAGTAAATGGGTTTTCAATTGTATAAAATAACATAGTCCTACACATGTAGTTTACAACTCTGAATCGACTTTTCACCCGAAACGTCCAGATTTTTGGAAAAAAAATCAAAATTATAAAACAACATTTTGAAATTTAATTTTTAATCTGCTAACCAGAATTCTTTGAAATGTTGCAGATGTTTTAAGGCTATAAAGAGCATCATAAATCTTTAGTCAAAAAATATTTGCTTATCCCCTCCAAAAACTTGATGACGTCAGCTCAAAAGTTTGTGGAATAAATCATATCTAAAATGTACAAAATATGATGAGTCTGTACTTGTGATCTATCACTCCATTCATATTTTTTGGATTTGCATATACAGGGTGACTCAAAAAAATTAATGAATGCGTAAATATATTTTATTGATTTAATCAGGAACTACAAAACCGAATGCTCTGAAATCTTACAGATGTTTTAAGATCATAAAGAGCATAATAAATGTTTAGTCAAAATATATTTGCTTATCCCCTCCAAAAACTTGATGACGTCAGCTCGAAAGTTTGCCGAATAAATCATATCTAAAATGTACAAAATATGATGAGCCTGTACTTGTCATTTATCACACCATTCATATTTTTTGGATTTGCATATACAGAGTGACTCAAAAAAATTAATGAATGCGTAAATATATTTTATTGATTTAATCAGGAACTACAAAACGGAATGCTCTGACATCTTGCACATGTTTTAAGGTTATAAAGAGCATAATAAATGTTTAGTCAAAATATATTTGCTTATCCCCTCCAAAAACTTGATGACGTCAGCTCGAAAATTTGCCGAATAAATCATATCTAAAATGTACAAAATATGATCAGTCTGTACTTGTGATCTATCACTCCATTCATATTTTTTGGATTTGCATATACAGGGTGATTCAAGAAAATAAATGAAAGCGTAAATTTATTTTACTGATTTACTCAGGAACTACAAAACCGAATGCTTCGAAATCTTGAAGATATTTTAAAATTATCATAAGCATGGTAAATTTTTGATCAAAACGTATTTGGTCGTCCCCCCTAAAAAATTTATGACGTCACCACAAAATTTTGCTGAATAAATCCTATCTAAAATGTACAAAATATGGTGAGTCTCTTCTTGTGATTTATCATTCCATTCAAATTTTTTCGATTTGCATATACAGGGTGACTCAAAAAAATTAATGAATGCGTAAATTTATTTTATTGATTTAATCAGGAACTACAAAACCGAATGCTTTGAAATCTTGCAGATGTTTTAAGGTTATAAAGAGCATAATAAATTTTTAGTCAAAATATATTTGGTTATCTTCTACAAAAAACTGATGACGTCAGCTCAAAAGTTTGCCGAATAAATCGTATCTAAAATGTACAAAATATGATGAGTCTGTACTTGTGATTTATCATTCCATTCATATTTTTGGATTTGCATATGCAGGGTGACTCAAAAAAATTAATGAAGGCGTGAATTTATTTTATCGATTTAATCAGGAATTACAAAACCGAATGCTTTGAAATCTTGGGAATATTTTAAAGTTATTATAAGCATGGTAAACTTTTGTTCAAAATGTATTTGTTCATCCCTCCTAAAAAAATTGATGACGTCACCCTTAAATTTTGCTGAATAAATCCTATCTAAAATGCAAAAAATATGATGAGTTTGTACTTGTGATTTATCATTCCATTCATATTTTTTAGATTTTCTTAAGAGGTGGTTCAAAAAAACTAATGAAGTCAATTTATTTTATTGATTAAATTAAAGGCAACACTTATTATTAGTATTACACCCCAACCAACCCAATTTGGTAGACACAAAATTTGTTAAAGGAAAAACTCGGTTGAAACATAAGGGTAGCACGCTTATTTACATCGACTTTAACATTACAGACCTGCATTTGTTTTATGCGCTCACTTGGTTCCGCGAATGTGAAATAGACATGTTTATAATCAACCAATTGTGAATTTCACCGTCAAGAATTAAAATAAAACCCAATGTTTTATATAATAAGCGGAAGTCGAAGCAATAAAACCGATGGTCGTTTTGTTTACAGTTTCTCTGTTTGACTCTCACGTATGGTGTTACGCCTGTCATCTTAAATTAAGAATGTTTATACATACACGATTTTCAGTTGCCTC